GGAAGGGCTTATTGCAATATTCGCTAATGAGTCTTGGGTTTACACTGATCCTCCTCATCCTCTTCCTCCTCCTCCTCCTCCTCCTCCTCCTCCTCCTCCTCCTCGTACTCCTCCTCTTTCTCCTCCTCCTCTTCCTCCTCCTCCTCCTCCTCAACTATCATCCCTGTTCCTTGTAAATCCGCCGATCCGGCGTGTGAGCTTCGAGCTCCGCTCTGTGGGGGGGGTGCGATGTGCTCCGCTTTCCGCTCCGTCGCAGCTCCGCTCTGCGGGGGAGGGGGGGGGGGCGATGTGCTCCGCTTTCCGCTCCGTCGAAGCTCCGCCGCTCTGTGGGGGAGGGGGGGGTGCGATGTGCTCCGCTTTCCACTCCGTCGCAGCTCCGCTCTGTGGGGGGGGGGGGGGGGGGGCGATGTGCTCCGCTTTCCGCTCCGCGGTCCCGAACCACTCCACACCTGGAACTCCCGGGTCCTGGAAAACATTCGGTCCCGGACGCCCACCGCGGTCCTGGACCCCCCCAGTCACGGACCGGTTCCGGACCACCCCCTCGCGGTCCCCGACCTCTCCCCGGTTCCAGACCCTCTCGCGGTCCCGGACCGCTCCGGTTCCGGAATGTTCCCCAGTCCGGGACGTCCCTCCGGTCCCGGACGCTCCCGGTCCCGGACCTTCCCCGGTCCGTCCCGGACCACCTCCCTGAAGGAGAAGGAACGCACTGGATTGCTGCCAACAGCAGCGGGAAGCCCCCCGGATCGGCGGCATTGGCCGGAGGCCAACACAATAACGCCTCCCTGTCGCACCCCAGGGCGTGTCGGCAGGATGGGCCGGGTGTTTGGCCTGAGACTGCCTCACAACGTATGGTCTTGAAACTTGAAACGTGCAGCCGTTTTCAAAATGAAGGGCGGGTAGTTGTCAAAATGTGGCTCTCGCCGTAGAGCCAAGCGATTTTGTCCTGAAAGTGTGCAACAGTTTCAAGGATGGAAGGCGGGTGGTTTTCAAACTGTGGCTCTCCCCTGAGCGCCACGCACATTCGTCTTAACAGTTTGCAACAGTTTCAAAGTTGGAGGGCGGGTGGTTGCCATAATGTGGCTCTCGCCTTAGCGCAACACACTATCGTCTTCAGAGTCTGCAACAGTTTCAAGGATCTGTATGAGTGAAGTCATAGGAATTGTGGTCTGGCACGATTCACTATTGCCAGAGCGCAACAGTCACGTTGCTTCGCGGCGTTGAAATCCTGAGAATGATGTTTTGGCACGGTGGAGGATTATCAGACGGTTGTCTTCCAATGGAGCACTTCCCGCAATGAAAATACATTCTTGTCAGGATATAGGAAGAGGGAACTTGAAGGGAGAGTTTGTTGCAACATCGTCTTACACTGGTCCTCCTCATCCTTCTACCGCGCGGACGAAGATAATACTGGAGTTCACGACCCGCCTCGGTTCAGACCGTTCGCTGAACTGCAACGGGACATGCACTCGACCGCCCCCGTACCGCGCGGTTGCAGGCGAGGTGGAGTTCACGACCCGTCCCAATTCAGCCCGCTTTTCGGAATTGCGCTGCTCCTACACTCAGCCTCATTGCTGCTGCGATGTTGCACAGGCACGGTGGCGGGATTTGCCGCAGGCAGCTGGATACTATCATCTTGCAACCCTCAGGAACGCTGAATGAGGAACGAAGGGGCCTTTGAGGCCACGGCGACCCTCGGCCACGAATAGGTTCCCCAACCTAGATCTTGCGAGCGGCCCGAAAACCTGAGCCCCTCCTGAGCCCAAGGGATCCCTATTTCAGCATCTTGACTGGATCGCCAACTAAGGAAGCAGGTCAACAGCTCTCGATGGTAAAGATACACACGCGACAAGCAAAAGAACTCAGATGTGTCACATCGTGCTTTGGGCCAGTGGAAGAGCACTGGAGATCTTACACTACTAGGGTCGCCGTGCCTTGGTCAAGCAATCGCAACTGTTCCTTGACCCAGCAGGACGTCACCAACAGAGACGGGTCAAGTCCGTATGCCCCGTGCAACACCACCCCCGACAGGATGTGAATCCATTGGCTCCCAGGTCCTCGTAAGATGCGACATCCCACGGAGGTACTTGCTCCAGGCACTGAGACACCGCGTCCAGAAGCCAGGAAAGCTCCCCGCTGGCTGTGCCCAGCTGTGCGATGGACGCGAGCAGGTTCGCCAGGATCTCCTGCCTCTCCAGGAGCCACCTCGCCCTGGCTGGAAAACGGGCGAGGAACCAGATGGCCCGCGAGGCGCAGCGCGCGACCATGGGGTCGCCGTCGGCGACGAGGGCCGCGACGGCGGTCGCGAATCTGCAGAGCTCCGAGCAGAGTGCCGGGGCTTTCGTGGGGCCTACGAGGAGCCTGCACTTGGCAATCATCACCACAGACCCCCTGTAATCTGCAAGGTGTCAGAAGGACCGCGATGATAGTGAAGGGGAAGAGGAGGAGGAGGATGAGGAGAAGGAGGAGGAGGAGGAGGAAGAGGAGGAGGAGGGGGAGGAGGAGGAGGAGGAGGAGGAGGAGGAGGAGGAGGATGTCTGTCAGAGTGGACCTCAAACAGCAATTTCTCGCACTCTGGAATGCGACACGTGGCTCAATCGGTGGTGCATGCTACGTGGTGCAAGCTACGTGGTGCAAAATAAATGTGCTGTGTGCTGCCTGGTGCGATTTGTGTGATGCAAGCTATGTGGTGCAATCTACGTGGTGCACTCTATGTGGCGTAAGACATGCAGTGCAAGCCATGTGGTGTTGTCTACGTGGTGCATGCTGTCTGGTGCATGCTGCGCGGTACAAGCTGTGCGGCGCAGTCCACGTGGTGCAGTCTGGTCGGGTGCTAGCTTTAGGTCGGGCCTGTCCCCCTACAGGGGAATTTTGGACGAAAAACAAAAAAAACAAAACTCAAATAATATTCCACAAATGCTGAAAATTGTCAAAGAATGGTCCCCAGACTATTTGTTACTATTTTTGAATATGCCTCCTGTAGAGGGACAGGCCCGACTTGATGCTAGCTGCGTGGTGCACCCCACGCGGTGCAAGCCGTGGGGCGCAGCTTACGTGGCGCAGGCCGTGTGGCGCAGGCCGTGTGGCGCACGGTGCAGTGCACCGGGCGCGAACCTCTTGATGCAGCACCACGTCGTGAGGCGCCGGCGCACGGGGCGCCCGCGAGGAGCCCACGGGCGCCCACTGGCGGAAGCCCCGCCACGCCAGCCCAGCGAGCGAGGCGCCCTCGCCCACTGCTGCGCACCGGGAGGACGCCCAGCACGCCAACCCAGCGCACGAGGCGCCTTCGAAGCGCCCACGCGTGCGCCCGTGGGGCGAGCTCGCCACGAGCCCACCCACACGAGGCGCCCACGGAGCGCCCCCTGGCGCCCACTGGGCAAGACCCCGCCGTGCAGCTTGTATGTGGGTGTGTTTTTTCCTCGGCGCGCCGATGGGATGAAATCGCCGGTGCAAGTTCGACGGGATACAGTCGGGGCGTTGTTGACCTAAGGAACCCTAAATAAGGAACGAGGCCCCTTTTTTCTATACGTTAACCTTCGATTTCCTGTCGAAAACATAAGGGAAGCCTGAGGCAAGCTGTGAAACACTTAAGGAACGCTGAGCCCCTCCCCAACGAAAAGGGTTCCTTCTTCAGGGCCCCGACTGTACGTCCACAGCGAATTGACAACCATGTGCGAGTGCGTGAGCAAGGCTGACACCTCAGGACGAGACGGGTATATAGTCGACCAATGGGCAGCCAGGAGCAGGCGCATGCGCAAAAAGGGCGTGGGGAGAAGAAGAAGAAAAAGAAGAGGATGCTCAAAAAACAAGAGCAAGAGCAAAACGAGATTCCCTCCTCCAGCGCTGCAGCCACGAACGCGCGGGGGGACGGGCGAGGGGCAGGCAGCGACGAGCGAGACAGCGGAGAGGGCGCACGCGGCGGCCAAGCGTGCGGGTGGGCGTGCGAGGGAGCGACGCAGACCCCCGACGCGCGTACCTGAAGGGGCCCTGGGACACACGAATAAATAGACACAATTCACAATATTCCCCGTATGTTCCCATATGTTCTGGGTTTTTGTCTTCCCCCCCCCCCCTCCCTATCTTTTCCCTTATTTTCTGAGGAATCGACGATTAATTGTGTCTGTGTGTGTTTTTCCCCTCCTGAAGTACCTGTTCTGGCGCCGCGGCCACGCGCGCGGCGGCGCGGCGGAGTCGGGCAGAGAGGTGGAGGTGCGGTGTGCACCCATGGGGAACCTGGGAGGGCACCGCGCTGCAGTTTTGGAGAGCCTGGAACGGTGCGGCGACGGACCGTGCGGGGACCTCGACGTCCTGAGCATTTTCTTAGGGTGGAGGGCTCAGGGTGAAACCCATGTGGGCTTTTGCACCTCGAATATCAGTCCGTTATGTTGCTCGCTTTTTGCAGATTCAAGCCTCGAAAACCCATCGAAACGGCATTTCAGATTTCACCCTTTGCCATCCACCCAAAGAAATTGCTCAGAAATCCCCCAAGACCTCACCGCACGGTCCGTCAACACACGGTTTTGGGACCTCGGATGTGGTCACCGCCCCGTTGGAGGGAACCGCGCCGCAAGACTCACGGGGGGGGGGGGGCAGCCCGGCGGGCACCGGGGGGAAGCGAGAGGAGGGGCCAGGACCGGGCGGAGGCGCACAGGCGATGCTCGGGTGCAAGCCAGTGCTCGGTGGCGGACCTTCGTGGGTGGACAAGTGCGGCGCAGTGGCACGGCAGGGGTGCAGAAGACGATACGCATAGACACACACACACACACACACACACAAATCGCACGCGGCGACCACGCAGCACGACGGGCGCCCACCGGGAGAATCCCCACACGAGCCCACCCACACGAGGCGCCCACTGAGCGTCAGCGAATGCTCTCTGGACCAGAACCCGACGCCCACCCCCACACCCACACTCAGTGTTTGAGGAATGTGTCAAAATAAACGCACTGGCCGAATACTCAGAAACGGCCACCAGCCATCCATCTCCTTGCAGATTAGCCGGGTGGCAGCCGTGGTGGTGGCAACGTGCAAATTCCCGCCTGGTATGGCCAGGTTCCACAACAAGCCACAGCTCGCTGCGCGCAGTGGCGGATGGCCATGCCTCAACGTCTCCTCAAGGACCACGAAGAGCGCCTGCCGAGTGGCCTCGATATAGGTGTGCAAGTCGTCGTGGAGCGACAACGCCAAGAACACCTGGAACCATTTCGTACGCACCCCTGCCGACCGCCAGGTCTGCCCACGATGCAGGGGATCGAGCAAGAGCCGACTAGATCGGAGGCAGTGGATACGAAACTCGGAGAAGACACCCGTTGAAACGACGTCGCAGCGTTGCTGTGTCTGTGCCAAGAGATCCTCCTGGACGTGCAAGGCCCCCGCAGCAGCACCTGCAGCACAGGACACTTGGTGGTCTCCAGACCAGGTGGCGAGACACCTGGTGGTGACCCCGATTCCCCCAAAAAGCAATTCTGGGTCGCCGCCGGGCTTGGGAACACGCGGCCGCCACGAGGCTTTGCGTTCCCTGGGCCAGCCGGCGCTCGAAAACCATTACCCAAATCGCCCAAAACTCACCACCGGGTGTTCTCATCACCACGTTCGGGAGACTCTTCATGGGGGGGGATCCCATGGGGGGATAGGATCCCACGGGGGGGATCCCATAGGATCCCTTGGGGATCCCATGGAGAATCTCCCGACACGTTTGGGGACCACCAAGACACGGAGCCCACCCCCGGCGCATCCCGGAGTGCTTCCGCGCTCCGCGGGCGCTCGCGGCCTCTCCCGGCCGCTCGCGGCCTCTCTTCGCTCTCCCTCCCGGCCTTCCCTGCCGCCTCAGTGTCACGTCGGGCCTGTCCCCCGACAGGGGGATTTCGGGCGAAAGACCAAAAATACTCAAAAGATGCTCCCAAAATGCTCAAAGACAGTCAAAAATCCTCCCCAGACTGCTTGTTTACTATTTTTTGAATATTCCCCCTGTAGAGGGACAGGCCCGACTGAACCTTAGTGCCCAATTCGCATCGCAGCAGCCCTGCCGTAGCCACGCGACGACCGCAGCTTGGAGCAAAGGCGCCGCCGATTAAACAAACAAAAACCCGTGCCAAGAGGAGGAGGGGAGGAAGTTCTGGGGGCTCTCGGGTGCCTCCCCACCAGGTGCGAGCCGCGCATGCCTACGGCGCGCAGCAAGCTGCGCCAGAGGTTGTGTCAAACACCCCGCAACCAACCGAATCGTCCGCTGCCTCATTCGGAGTGCCCTGACTATCTGAAAGGAACAATACGGTGAGGGCATTGGATGAGGAACAATTGGACAAGGAATCTAGGGTCTGAAGCCCGTGGAACTCCGATCGTGGATTGGCCATGGATGTTGCCACCGTCCTCATCAGATGAGAAGCCCTCCAGGGTCTGCAGCATCCTGGGCACCTTCCTTAACCAACACCCCACCGTACAGCATGCGCTGCTTCCGGGAAATAGTGATCACAAAGGTAGATAAAGCAGGTTTGGCAAAGGTTTTTGGATCGCTCGGGCCAGAGGAAGCCGTTCAGGAAAAGGCTGACGCCTCCAGCAAACTCTCTGCGGGGCTCGCCCACTGGGACAGATCCTGGCGCCGAGATCCCCATTCCGAGCAGCTCAAAACGACCATCAATCCGCCTCGGTAAGTCTGCGCTCTTCTGGTTCGTAGCGCAGCACCCTCCTCGCTCTTCCTCCCAGCCCACCTCCAATATCATAGTCCGAGCAGTCGTGCACTGGCATGCGCCAGCCAGTTCGGCCAAGCAGCGACAGCCTTGGTCGGCGCACGCCCTCGCGAAACGCTCGTTGCGGGCGAGCGAGCCCAGCTGCTCCAGCAAAGGCACGAACTCCTCGGGGGCAAATCGCACAAGCCCTCTGGGAGCAGATGCCTCAGAGTCTCAGCTCTCTCAAAGCAACCCCTTCCTCCCCCTCCCTTGACCCCATCCCCGAGGGTCGTACTAAGGTACAAGATGACCCTAGATGGCTCCCAGATGGCCTCAGATAGCTAAAGATGGCCTCGAGAATGGCGCAACATGGCCAAGTTGGACCAGATGGCCTCCAGTATGCCTACAAGAGGCCCCCAAGAGGACTCCCGGCTGGCTCTCAGGTGGCACCCGCGCCTCGCAAGGATACCACTACAAGGCCAGCTGGATCGCCACGCTTAACACCCTTGCGGTACAACCGAACCAGTGGCTGAGAACAGGCAGCGGACGGGCGAGCACCACGCTCCAGCTGAAACGAACAGCGCCCCCTGCAAGACAAGCTGTCACAGAATCCCTCCGTCGCGGACGGCAGGGGCCGGCCTGGCAAGCCCAGCCAGAAGAGGAGAGGCGAGCTCCTCGTGATTGTGGCGGCCAGGGGCGACGCTGGCCTGGACGTCGGCAAGGAGCCTCTGGATGGCCGCGTCAGCCTGGATGGCCTCGCACCGGCAGAGGGGGCAGGTGGGGTGCTTCGCGAGCCACGCGCCGAGGCACCGGTGGTGGAACGTGTGGTGACAGGACAGCT